CCTGCGTGTCTCTGTGGATGAGCATGTGTGTGTATCGTGTGTACAATAACATTGCATCGTGTCTTGTATCTGTTTCTTGCATTCTCCTCGAAATATGTATATATATATATCGCCATAGTCGAAAAAAGGTTCCGGTACGACCTACCGTCAGCTGGACGAAGATCGAACGCCGGATATACGTATGTAACTGATGGAATCGCAGTGGGTTCACGAGTGTGGTTGGGTGGCATTTATGCGTTTCTTCTTCTTTTTTTTTTTTCTCTTCACCCTCCCCTCCCCCCTCCCCACCTCCCCTACCGCTCTTTTTTCTTTTCGTTACCCGTTTTTCCGCTTGCTTTTGTTTCCACCACATATTCCGCCTCGCGACGTTCAAGGAGGACTTCCGGATGGAAAGGGCAGGGTCAGGAGGCTGGGGGCTGCTACCGTTTCGTGCCACCGTTTCGCGTTTTCTTCGAAACGTCCCTCGTCCTGTACTACACGCGCGCACACACACACGCCAACGGAGGAGGTGCACCTCGGCTTTCACTTCTCCTTCTCCTCGGGAACGGGTCGCGCGTTCGCTTTCATAGCCGACGCGCGACGGAGTCGTGCACGATTTCCGGTTCTTTGTCGGTCTCGGCCGATCGTGGTGTCGTGACCGATCGCAAGAGAAAGACAATTACCGAGTACTGTGCTGTTGATATACGATTATGCGAACCGAAGGAGAGAGAGAGAGAGAGAGAGAAAGGCGGAAAGGCCGAGAATGCCCGACCACCGTTTGGCTACGTGGTGTGGTAGAATGCCGGAGCATCGGGCGGGAATGGGCTTTTACCGTTTACACGGATCGTTCACCGATCGCGTATATATCATATTCAGTTACTTTTATACTTTACTGATCAACGATACCGACTTTCTTTCTTTCCTACTGCTCCACGGAGTCTTCCATGCTGATGACCGGTCCGCGTTGCTCCGCCGGTTGCTGGGTCTGCTCGCTGGACCTGCTGTTCCCGGTGCTGTAGCTCCGTTGCAGCTGTACAACCAGTCCGCTCACTGCACCGTACTCCTTTTGTTGCTGTTGCGACGGCTGCTGCTGTTGCTGCTGCTGCGACGGCTGTTGCTGTTGCTGTTGCTGCTGCTGTTGACTCTTCTGGCTCGAATGATCTACTATAAGCTTACTATCACAGGCACTTTTTTTCTCAGTTGATACGGCGTAAAGATTGTGTAAGTCCGGGTAGTGATTCAGTTGCTGCTGCTGCTGCGGCTGCGGCTGCGGCTGC